TCAAACTTCAATGCCGCACTGGGCCTCAGGGAACCCTGTTCAAATGCAGATTCTGACTCTGTAGGTCTGGGGCGAGGCTTGGGGTTCTGCCCATTTAACAAGCTCTCAGGCCCTGCTGCTGCTGCAGGTCCAGAGACCACCCGGTGAACAGTACGGATCTGATGTTCGGTTCTTTCTATTTCTCACTTCCCTCACACCTAAGGTATCACGACATCTTATTTTTCATCCTGTCAAATTCCAAACGGATTGTCTTTCTTGAGGGTCATTGCTCTGGAGCCTGCTAGAGAGTTTTGTTGCCCTGATAACTGTGGCCATTCACCCCACCCTCAGATTGTACCCCCACTTACCCTGAACCCCCGCTCTGCTGGGTTCTTAAAATTAGCAAACTTTTCCCAGAATACAATGTCCCCTTTTGTCAATGGAGATATCTATTTAATTTCTTTTTCTGATTTGTTCCCAGAAGACTTCTAACGTATCCCCAGACCCTCCCTTTCCAAAACAAAAAGGTAGGTAGAACTGGAGGTCGTGAGGACCGAGGTCAGTATTCACACCCAGCCTTGCTTTCCTCCCAACCACCATATTCCATGCATTGTTCTGTATGATTTCTAACTTTCTCGATTTTAATTTATTCTTTCCGAGTTTTAAGTGTTTCATCATAGTGGCTTGGATTTTTTCCAATCCCATGATTATCTCTCTATTAAAACCTTAATACAAAAAGAAATAAAAAAAAAAAAAGCCAGACTGCTCATTACTTTGATTTGTAGCAAAGAGAGAATGGAACATTACTGCTAGAGTGTTTCGAGAAACCATATTTACATTTGCATCAGCTCAATTTAGGTGCCTGATTAGGCTGCGTGTGATGATGAAGATGCACTTACCAGTCAAAAGGAAGTGGCGTGGCCCCGAGTAACGAGCAGGAGACTCCGAGTCAGGAGCCCTGAGTGCTATTTCTGGCTGTGACTGGCTAGTCTCTGACCTTGAACAACTCTGTCTCACTGCCTTAGACCCTAATAGCCCCTATCTGCCTTGTAGCCCCGCTGTGAGGGACTGGTTCCTCAAGCATTTATTGTAGTGGGGGCTAGGGAGGGGGCAGTTGGGGTCACAAATGGAACTGGAGACAGGATCTCTACTGCGAGCTCTTACCCTAACCAATTAGGAGATGGTGTCTGAGCAGTGGGCTGATTGCTCAGCTCTTGGTCTGATGGGGCCAGAGGACATGTGAGAGGCTGATGAAGATCAATGGAGTCATAGAGCTGCTGGGTGAGATGCCCAAGCCCGTCCTGTTCTTTGGGAGATCCGATTGTCTCCTCTTAAGAGCACCACTTTGAGCTTGTGCACTTCATCCCCGGGACCAACCAGGGCGCCAACAGAGACCAGTCTCTAAGCAATCCTGACGTTAGGAGCAGGAGTGTGACTCATGGCAGCTCTAATATGTGCAGGAAACCATCTTGCTTCCTCCACCAGGCCTTGCAGCCAGTAAGAGCACGCCCCAGAGAGGAGTCAATCGTTTTGCAGTTGAATTCCTCTCCCAGTGAAGAGCCAGATTGAGGGGTAAGGGTTAATGTGCTTTAAAAAGGCAAACAAGAGAACAGTTCTCCTAATATAGATGGTCAGTAGACAGTGCAGTAAAGACAGCACCCCTGGTTCCCACTGCATTCCCATGCTTGCATAGTCTAGTATTTATTGAGGACAATCTAATAATAAGTAATATTTACTAAGCACCGTTTTAAGCGCCTCACATCAATTAGCTCATTTAATTACCCCATCCATCCATTAGATGGGCACTATTATTATCCTCACTTTATGAGTAAGGAAAATGGGAAACAAGGAAATTAGGTAATTGTGCTCCAGATAGAACCTGAGTCCCTTGGCTCTAGATTCTTCACCCTGAAGCTCCTTCGCCGACTGGAATACAAACATGTTCAGGAGAGCATGACGCTCTCTAGGGGCCATGGTCAGAGAGGCTGGAGAAAGTCCAGAATGACTAGTCACCTCCTCAAAGCCAGAGCTCACCCAGATTTCCAGCTGAGAAGGTGGAACTGGGGGTTCAATATGAGAACCTTGCCGTACAGTGGGTGAAGGGCTCTCTCCTGTGTGTGAGTTTCAAGTGATTCCGCACCAAGGATTCCAGCCCCACAGGGAGGTCTCACTCTTTTCTACCCAAGTCCAGCCCCATTGTCATACAGAAGGCACATGGGGATGTCATCTGATTGCCAGGTGCCAAAAGCTCCCTTAAAGAATGAAATGAAATACTAATTCAGCCCGAGACCCGTTATCTCTTCAAAAAGCATTATTGGTGTTCTCTGTAAGCTTCTTGATTCCCTCTGCCCTTTCGGATAGTAGGAGAAGGGTAGGGGATGACTCCATATATATTTTGCCAGTTTTCTGTGCCCTGTTTGAGTTAGTGTAAGCAAGGTCCTGACTTTGCCAGAGGCAATTGGCCCTAAAGACCAAGGGGAAGGGGTAAGAGAATTCCCAGTGGAATAACACAGACAGTGCTACGGTGCTTACGGGACTGCCGTTTTGCTTAACAACCAAAGGCAAAACTCCCAGAATGCTCCTGGAGCAATGGTGTGTGACCATCCTCTCTCACTCCACCAGGGTCACAAATCAGAATCCTGCATTCCTGTCAGAATGACTGGTTACTGTTTCCCCAAGTACAGGTTCATGTGCAATAACTGACCCCAGAGAAACAGAATGGCACAGCGTAAGAGCTTGTCACATTAAATGATCAGAAAACCATTACCAACTGATAGAACGGTTGATGGTGCAGAAGTGATTACGGACGCTCCCCACAGGCCTGCTCCCAGCGGACGCCCAGCCGTTAACTGGCTGTCAGGCTGCCCAGACATGGGACTGGGGCTTAGTGACAAAAAAAACCTACTGAGGGGAGGAGGAGGCTGATGGTTCCTTCCCTGAGTTCCTGAAGCCCTCTGGAGCGGGCAGGGGTGTTAAGATCCTCAGCCTGACTTCACTTCCAATACACTTTAAAAAATTATTTTTGTGACAACAATGTTTTTGTGAGATTTGGGATCCACCAAATATTCTAAGGTGCATTGAATTTTATTTTACTAGACAGGAAGAATTTTCTGCTTAGCACATCCTAGAGTAGATTTTCTGATCCCAGCCCCCTGCCCAGTGGGATGGAAAAATAAATTCTTTGATAAGGGAAGGATCACTCTGAATTTGCCTTATTAGCAGACTGTGGGGGCACACGTCTAGATTCTTAGACATTTACTGGAGGTGGGGTTCTCGCTTGCTCCGTAGCTCTTCTCATCTGCTTCCACCTGAGCAGGTGTCAACAGTCCCAGGCTGAGCTGGCCTCTCCTGTCAGTGGTTAGATGTGCATTTGTGCTGCAGGTTTTGGAGGATGACAAGGACCAGAGCCACTGAAGCAGGAAGCGTGAGCCACAGTCCCTTCCTGGACCAGACTGGAGCCAGCACAGTGTGAAGGAGAGGCGGGCAGGCCACGCCTGAGCTCAAGACTTCATTTCCATATACCTCTGGACCCACGAGGTACCAAACCCTCAAATATCTGTGTCTGCCTCTTTGTCTGCCGTCAAGTGCGGAAATTATGAAACAGGCCAGTGCCCTGCATAAACAGCTGCTCTCTTACACTTTGGGGATCTTTAGTGCTGAATACTCCTAGAACTTATTTCTGAGGCCCTGTCCTAACCTAAATAGGTTGCCTGGTTACTGCAGATGTTAAAATAACTCCCAGAAACAGAAAACTGTCTCTACTTTAAGAACTCAAACTCTGAAGTCTGACTAGTTGGGGGCTGATCCTGTTCCACCATTGACTTGCTGTGTGCTCTTCAGCAAGTGGCACAACTTTTCTGGGCCTAAATTTCCTCATGTTTAGAAAAGGGAAAGTAATTGTTCTTCTAACAAAGCGTTGTTGGAAGGATTTACATAAGCCACACAAAGTTCACAGAGATCCCAAACACTAGTCTGCTCACAGGATTGAAAATGCACATGCTCAAATGTTAACAATAGCCAACTCCAGATGCTAAAAGAATGGGTGGTTTTGTGTTCTTGTCTCTTTGTGCTTTTGCATGTTTTCTCCACTCCCCCCGCCCCTTTTTTTTTGCATGAGCAACTGATTTATAATTAAAAAATAAATATCTTTGAACAAAGAAAGTTCAGTGAAGCTCCCAGGGTTATGTGAAGATCTCTCTTCTGCAGACACAGTGAGGAGGGAAAGGAGCATGGCCGAGGGGCAGGTGGGCCGAGGGGTAGGTGGGCAGAGGGGTCACAGGGGAGTTTGCAATCAGGGATTCACCTGTGGGGGCCCTGGGCCCTGCAGGGCCACCCAGGGGGAGAACTTGGAGGAGCCTTCTACTTCGGAGGCCCTGGCCCAGCAGCCCGGAGTAGATACCTGGCTTATCCCACATCGGATGGCCCAGCAGGACTCAGTGTTGACTTTCAGCTTAGAGGCTCCTCGAGATGGGACTAAGCAGCTGGAAGGTCCAACCCATCTCCATGCACAGGCTGCTGGGCCCTCGGGGCTGACGAGGGTGGGGCAGGTCTGCTCCTGACCCCACAGAGCTCTGCAGACCCCCAAGGCCAGAGCCTGAGTGTCCCTTCCTTCATTTGCATGTCTAAGTAATTACGACTCATAAAAGTATCTAACCCATTAGTTAAAACCCGGGCCCCAGCGTTTGACTCTGACCTCTTACGGCAGCTCGGGCCACATGCTGACTCCATGCCGCCTGATTTGTCCTCAATTTATAAGCAGCACAACCTATAAATAGAAACCCTTTTGCTAAGTTCCCCAGGAGGCATCGGCAGGCTCTCCAGCTTGTATGTGTTTTCGTCTTTCTGTTTTAAAAACCAACATGGTGGTTTCTTTTCCTTCCTGGTGTCCTCCAGCTGTCACCTCTAGTTCAGTTGGAGGGCATTCTGGCTGCTGTCACCGTCGGGCCAGCACACTGGGCAACCTGCCTGGTTGTGTTCCCAGGGAGGAAGGCCCCATCTTGGTCCCAGAGGTCCCCACTCACCTGTAGATCCTGTACCTGGTGGTGAATCCCTGCCGGTAGCGCTCCATGAAGTCGGCATACTCTTGGGCGCGGTGGAAGGGGCCCCGGTCTGTGAGCAGCCAGTCCAGGGGCGGCTGGCCAGCTGAGGCAGCATGCTGCTCTGGGACCACGGCGGCCACCGTGGCCGAGACGGCCAGCACCCAGCCGGGCAGGCCCAGTGCCAGCAGCGCTGCCCATGGGGCCGCCGGCCAAAGCCCTCTAAACCGAGTGCCCCACTGCCACCTCATGCTTCTCCGGGGCGGTTGGTTTCTTCATTCTCTTGCCACGCTCTCCCACTCTGCCGCTCTTCCAGGGCTCTGGAACTAGAAAGGCAAAGGGACATGTCAGGTGGGCACCTGGTGCTACCCTGGGGGCCTGCGTTCAACACAGTTGTTTTAGGGCTCATATGGAAATCTTTTACCCTAGTGACACCCGGGTGCCCGGCCTGGAGCTAAGCACTCCAGGTACATCATCTTACTTAATTCTTCAAAAAGTCCCTGAGAAAACACTATTGTCATTATTTTAGACATGAGAAAACGAGGCTTAGAGTGTCCAAGGCAGTTGCTCAAGTCCACTCACGCACAAAGTGATAAAACCAGAACTCTAACTCGGGGTCTGGCTTGTAACCTTGATGTCATATTGCTTCCATGATTCCTCCTTTGACTCACCCCAACACCATCTCTTTCTGTCTTTCTCAAAAGCATTCAACAGGTTCCCATAGCCGCCTCACAGACTGCAAGTAGCAACCTGTTTTTCCAATGGAGACTGGGAGGGCAGAAAGGTAGTCAAGTCTGATTGTTGCTATGAAGCTGGGTGACCTTGGGCCAATCACTCTCCTGTCTGGGGTTCATGTAGCCTCTAGAAAATAAAGAGGTTGGCTACAGAATATCTAAGCTCTCTTCCAGGGTGGGACTTCCATCTGTTCTTTTGTTGAAGGCTAAGCAGGGATGGAGTTTGAATGGGATAAAAGACTGCCATACTGCCATCTTTGGACCAGGTCCACACCTGCCAGGGTATCCCTGGGGCTCCCTCTCTCACGTGCAGCTGAGAGTTACAAAGGCCAGAGCCACATCTCACTCTTGTCTCCTTCTGACTAGCCCCCAAGAGCACAGAGCAGCCCCAGACTCCCTCCATGAAGCAATGAATGAGGGCATGCCCTGGCTTCTCTGAGTTGGAGGAAGACACCAGGAAAGAGGAAGATTCTGGGCTTGGTAGTTCCTGGCTGCATCGTCACTCACCACAGGCCTGATTTCCAGGGCTGTATATTGTCTAAGGACAACTAGTCACCTTTATCAACCTCGAGGCAGGTGCAGGCATCATTCAGTACTGTGGAGCTGCCTGGAATTGTAATCACCCTTCAATCTTTAATTTCCAGCGCATGCTGTCACAGTGCTGTCCATGTCTTCTCGCCAGCATCACTTCAGTGTGTGCCAGAATGACTTCCAGCCCCCAGTACCTGTCATTCATGGCTGGAGGACCCTCTCTGGCTGCCAAAGCCCAGGGGCAGGCTCCCTGGGGATAAGGCAAGGGGTGTAAATTTCCTGGCACTTCCAGACAGGGCAGGCAAAGTGGACTTGACCACCCGATCCATGCCCCTTTCCAAGTTCCCCAGGGTTCCCAGGATCAAAGGGAATCTTGAAGGAACTGCACAGACACTGAATCTGAGCGTTTGTACAGGACACTTTCAAGAGTCCCTGCTCATAAGGATGGAGGGACAGGAGCATGAGGGCTGGACATTCAGAAAGTACCCTCCCCTCCAGCTGGGAGGAGGTAAGCACCTACTGCATGGTGGGTTGTTCTTAGAAGTCACTTTCGTTCTCACTGTAAGATTTTTTATGTAGGTTTTGTTATTATTATTGTAAGTTCACATTTCACTGGGACTCAAAGGGGGGGGATCTATGGAAAACAGTGGTAGGATATAAACCTGGATGGGGCTCCCTGTTCAGACCTTGCCAAAAAGTACTGTACTGCTTACAGAGCCAGAGCAGGCAGCAAGAGAGACCCCCGTTTAATGAACTGGCTGAGAAGGGGCTGAAAAATAAGAATGATGACGGATCTTAAAACAGGATAAAAATTCTAATAATTGAAATAGGCTCACAAATTGGACAAGCAGGCCAATGAAATAGCACAGCTCAGAGAGAAGCTTTATATATAAAGAATTTAGTATACAAGGGAGAAAAAATGCACCACAGACTAATTGGGTAGGGATGGAATATTTTATCCATATATTGGGAACTTAGTTCCACTTGGATTAAAAATTAAATATAAAAAATAAAATCAAAAAGGAAAAACCCCAAAGTTTTTTTTTTTTTAATAAGCATGCATTACCAGGAAAAAGAAAAAGTGATTCAAAACTAAAAGGAGGAATCATCCTTGCATATGGAGGGAGTAGGCATCTTTTATATGGATGAAATCTGATGAGGATGCCCAAAGTATTTCTCATTTAATCATTCACATATTCATCTACTGAAGACCCATAAATTAAGAATTCTTAAGTGCCAGGCACTCTGCTAAGTTTGGACAATATAAAAGCAAGGGCTCGTTATGTTACCTGAAACTCTATTATTAGTGATTAATTCCTCGTATAACACATTGCTCTGTCTTTTAAAGGCATATTGATGGACAGTGGGGAGGAGGGCTCATTTGGGAGGCTACGGCTATTTGACACAGGAAGCCAAAGCAGTACACACAGGAAAGTGGAAATGCAGACATGGGCAGCAGGACATATGGAAAGCAGGGTCTCAGAGTGGCCCCTCAAGAATCCCACGTCCTACAGTGCATGCCTCATACGACCCACTCCTGCCGAGTGTGAGCAGGGCCTGTGAGAAAGATGAGATATCACTGCTGTGATCAGGTTAATAATCAGCCAGCTTTGAGTTACCATGTGATGCTTGCCAAATGCATCGAAAAAAGTCCAGGAAGATTAGAGTTTAGATGGTGGTGATGGCATCCAGGACAAAGACTTATGGATGACTTTGAGCAATATTCTGGGTAGGCTTGGCTGAAACAGGTGAGTCTTTAGAAGACAGTGAAATGTCAAAGAGTCAAGTTCAAACTGGCCTGCAAGAGAACAAAAGCCATGCTGTGTCCTGCCTGTGTCTGACACAGCAAGGAATTGCAGGTGGCCTCCGGGAGCCGAGAGCTATCTAGCTATCTCCGTCCAATAGCTAGCAAGAAAATGAGGAGCTCAGTCATATAACTGCAAGGAAAGAAATTCTGTCAACAACGACGTGTGATTAGAAGAGGACCCTGAGCCGACAATGAGAAGCCCTTCCCTGGCAAATACCTCAATTCCATTCTGGCAAGGTCCTAAACAAAGGACTCAACTAAGAATCTAGCTCTGATCCACCGAAACTACAAGATAATAAACTTGCAATTAATTGTTTTATGCTATTAAACATAGCATATTTGTTGTTTGCGGTAATTCATTGTACAGCAATAGAAAAATAATGCAGACACATACAAGATAACTACACCTTCTCCCATTAAGGCTTAAGGCCTGGCCCTGGAGGATTCTTGCTCCTTGAAGAAAATGAGCTGATATTCTCTATATGAGAAAAAGCTTGCATGGCAGATTCTTGAGCAGAGTGATATTGATCCTCTTCCCAACTGGGCCCTCACACCACACCCTCCCTTCATAGCTTACGGACCCTTCAAATTTGGAGGTCATCTCTCTGTTCTTGGCATTTCATCTCACAAAGAGTTGGGCCCTTACATGCATCTAATGCCTCAACTCCATGCATTATGTCAGGGGGCACTGTGGGCCAGGGACCGCTTATGGCCACACCTAGTCACTTAACCTCAGGGCGCACTGGCCTCCCAGGCTCCAAGAGAGATGGAAGCCATCACCTCGCCCACCGGGCGAGGGCTCCTGGAGACAGGTGAGAGCACTCGTGTGAATCTTGGGAAGAAGGGAGCTATATCAAGTGCGCTTCTTGTCATTCTTTGTTTGTAATTACGCTTTTTCAGAGCTCACAATGCGCTGGGACCTGCCTGGTTATAGGAATATCAGCTTCAGAATCAAATGGTTTTGATTGCTGGGCCAAGTCTGCTGAGCGCAGCAGGAACGTCTGAATTCAGAGCTCCCGCCCCCCTCCTGAACCTGGCCCTGGAATCACCTACTTTCTGCTTCATTGGTTTTCCTCAGGATCTGAAGACATTTTGACTAAAAAAAAAAATCAAAAATTAAAAATTAAAAAAAATCTCTTTTTCAGGAAGAGAAGTGTTAAACAGGATTCAAAACTTTCTTTAAAACAAAATTTCTAGAACGTGTTCCCTCACCTTAAAAAAAAGACAAAATAATTGCTGTGTTGACAGTTGTATAAAAATCAGGCTTTTGAAGGAGAACAGCTTTTGGCCATTTCCTGTTTATTCTGTAAAATAATATCACTAAATTTCGGAACGGCAACCTGTCAAACAAAGTTGAACTGTCTCGTTCTCAGGACGTCTGGTGGCACACTAACGTGCACAGGATGAAACAGTTCGCACCTCTCACGTCAGGCTTCCGTTTCCCCCTGGTCCTGGGGCCCGCAGCGCAGGAAGGCCCCGCGTCCCATGTTAGCACATTAACAGGAGGCCCCACTAGTTCCCTGACCAAAACGCCACGAACGGACTTCCAAAAACCAAATGATTTCCTTTACTGTCACTGTCCTTGAGGCCGTGTTCCACCTAGGCAAAATAATACATTGGCTTCACACCAAAGATACGAGTGAGACGAGCGTGGGTTTTCCTTGGCTGAGTGCATTAGCTCAAATCTGCTCTTTAAGCCATGAATTAAGTGGGTCACAGTTTTGTCAATAGAGAAGATCAAGTACAGACCAGGTCACGTGGGCAACAAGCAGTGCGGTCTTCAACATGGTAGCACTTTAGCCAGGCTCACACTGTCACCCGGCTGAGATTTTAGGGGTTCTTTTGGGCCCCCACCCCCACCATGGCTGGCAATCTCCTCTCACACTCAGTGTGTCAAAAGAGCAATTAGGATGCGGGCCTGAGCTGCCTGTGCGCTCGCTCTTGGCAAATAAAGTGGAAACAGAGGTTTCCTCAGTGAAAATCATCCCAGGGCTGGGGCGTGGCTCAGAGAGAAACCACGTGCCTGGCCTGGTGAAGTTCCATCCCAGCAACACACACACACACACACACACACACACAGAAAACTACTACAGAAGAGGGGCTGTACCTATGGGTGTGACAGTATTATTGTAATTAATTTAATTGCTAATGTTGCTTATTACTAACAAACACCAGTATAAGTCATTGAATGTCTGTGTGGCAGTGACAGCTTATTAAACAGATTATAAAATTATCCCCTGAAGAGGTGAGAACA